GGGTGGACCATGCACACCTCCTTTAGTAACTGGGGTAATGCCTGTGCATGATGGGAGCCACCGACAGACTTTTAACAGAGGCAAGGTGCAGCCAGATTTCTGGGTTTAAAAGGCCAATGGGGCATGTATACTTGAGAAAGGGAGTCTGGCTGGCAAAGGTAGGGAGGGAGGCCTCCGTCTTGCCATCATGGCCACTGAGCAGGGAGAACTGGCACTGGAGATCAGAGCTGGGATGCTCTAGCGCAGCGGTTCTCAACCTGTGAGTCGCGACCCCTTTGGCGGTCGAACGACCCTTTCACAGGCGTCGCCTAAGACCATCCTGCATATCAGATATTTACATTATGATCCATAATAGTAGCAACATTACAGTTATGAAGTAGCAACGAAAATAAGTTTATGGTTGGGTCACCACATGAGGAACTGTATTTAAAGGGCCAGAAGGTTGAGAACCACTGCTAGCGGGTCCAGCGCCAAGGGCAGGACCAGCAAGCAGTGGGAACATCCCAGAACGTCCTGGTGGCCAGGCTGCGTGCTGCCTGGAGTATGTACTGGTGTACTGAAGCTGGTCCCTGCACCAGAATGTGCTGTTTACAAGACAGACCGTCTGTTCCTGGGCCCAGAGCAAGGGTTCTAATTGGCCCACATGACATTTATATTCTTAAATTCAGTACAAACATTGGGAGAGTTTGCATCGTGGATTTTCTCCTGAAAACCCTGGGCCAGCACTCCAGCCTGATAACAAGGGACTGGAGCTGATAGAGACCTCCCTTCAGATGGTCCCTATACCCTTAGTTAGGGTTGCTAAGGTCCCCAGGTCACTGCTTAGCCTCTGTAGGTATTTGAATTTTCATACATACACACACCCTTTAAGAGTCAAGCTAAACCACAAGAAACCCAGGTGAATGTTGGAAAGGACCAGTGTAGGACTGGGGAACCTGGAAAAGAAGAAAAGGGCTGTGTTTGTTTTTTAATCCTCACCTGAGGGTATTTTTTTAATTCATTTTGAGAGAGAGAGCAGGGGGAAAGAGAGAGAGAGAGACATTGATGTGAGAGAGAAACATCAACTGGTTGCCTCCCCTACCAACTGGGGATTGAACCCACATCCTAGGTATGTGCCCTGATCTAGAATCGAACCCACTCCAACCAACTGAGCCACCCAGCCAGGGCTTGCATACATTTTTTTTTCAAGGAAGAAAGCTTATGATTAAATGTCTTATTCTCCAAAGACTCTACTTAGTTTATACACTCTCAGATTAATTATAACATGGTCAGAGGAGACATAGGCAATGACTACTTGTCCAGGGGTTGTGAGCAAACTTAATTTCCTATCATAAATGGAGTTTGCAACTCTAAATGAACATTCTTTTTTTTTCTTTATAACAAGCATCTTGATAACTACACTTTTCCTCTAACAAACATACAAAATAAAACAAGCATTGCTATTTCTAAGGATTACATTCCAAAGAGAATTAACAGTAAGCCTAGAGTTAAACTGTGGAAGTTTAGAGAGCATGCCTGCCAATAAACTACTCAAGGTAATGATGACAAGATTACAGCAAGCAGAGAATTAATTTTTTTTTAAATTTCCCTCTTATATGAAGGAAAACCAGTATGAGTTTTATAAAAGGAATGCATACTTACTATAAATTATTCAAGCACTCCTAGAGGTTAAAAAATTCAAATGCCACTGCTCATAAATAATTAGCAGTTAAAGGGGTATCATTCTAGAATCTTTTCATGCTTGTGTTCCAGAAAGGCAAAACAGGTGTATTGAAATATTTTGATAAATATGTGATTGTTTTATATATACTATTTGTAATGTTATTGCATTTCATTTTATTTGTATATAAAACTTGAAAAAGAAATCCAAAGGAATCTGAAAGAATAGTAAAATTTCAAATAAATGTTTATTAGCCTCAAGAGATTTTATTTTTAAAAATCCTTCTATAATTACAAAAATACTTTGGAGGAAACAAAACACACTGAGTTTATAGTAATCATTTTTACATTCTACATGTAGGCGTTATCATTTAACTCCCTGATGTGAAAGATCAGGACATTACATCCAGAACCTTCCTTTCCCCTCCCCCCACATCTTCACATATTGTGATATTAATATTTAAAGGCATACCATGTTTACATTTCAGTTTGTCAAATGTTTGTATTAATATTATTTCACTGTTAAATGTTTCCAAATCTTACCACAGCCTGTCTCTGGCTGCCTAAAAAAAAGAAAAAAAAAACCCCAATGATAGAGAAACTGCAGAAACGAGATGGAGGAGTTAATATAAAACTATGACTAACCCCTGAGGAAGCTAACGCTGGGGTGAACCCATGACAAGTTAGGAGGAATCTGAGGTGGAGGAGGCAGGTACAGAGGTGGGAAGATAGGGAAAGGGAGAGATTTTAAGTTCTGTTTATGCTTCTCTCCCACAATATCCCAGGGAAGGTGACTGGTGGCCTCAGCCACTGGCAGAAAGAAATCAATGGCAAAAGCTTGGCTGCTCAGGAATGCCAGAGCCATCTCAGAGCCATGCTGGGTTGAGATTCTGGTAAAAAAACAAATGCAGGCTGACCAGCTGCCCAGGCACTTATTCTTCCATGCCATTTCCTCCAATCCCTCATGGATGGCAGATGAGCACTTCAAGGACAGCCGATGATCTGCTCATGAATGGTGGCTGGCCATTCTAAAGATCTTATCTTCTTTAAGTGCTGCTTTCCACCCCGCCCCCTCCCTCCCCCAAAGATTTAAAGAGGAATCCCGGACTAGAGAATTTTCTCTGTGAAATGAAAGCAAAAGGGATGTTGAATAGCAATTCTGGAGAACCCGAGGCTCTCCATCCTGGGGCTCATCCCCACCCCTTCCTTCACAATCACCAGGAGGGACAAAAACAGACCTTCACTGTAGCCCTGACACGTTAGCCAAAATCAGTAGAGACCTGAGGAGTAAAACCACCATGAAATATATGCAATCAACTAAACACAACGCACAGATCAGGAGTGTAAACATAAGTATAAACGATATAACAAATATATTCACAGATATAAGAGAGAATATTGAATAAAATGAAGAAGGAACAAGAAGCAATAAAAAATAAAAATAAAAAAAGAACCCAGTGCCTCTTTCGATGGGAGAATAAGTAACTCATTCAGAACACCAAGAAAAACTAGATACAGTTTTTAAAAATATACTTGAAGGTATTGGAGAGAGAACACAGTAGTCAAGGAGTGAACCTGGATCTTGGAGAAAATGGGAATCAAGAAAAGTGTGCTGCACATTTGGACGACTTCTGCCCCGGGGGCATTTATTAATTTGGACAAGTCAGCTGAGAGCTAAGCAGTGTTTTAGTCTGTTTCAAAGGCGTGAGGTAAAAAGTTACAGAGTCTAGGGCTCATGTTGGGATGAGGACCCAAATATCTGTAGTATCGTAAGTCTGAGCTGCAAGTAGACCTGCTCTCACAGAGATTTCAGTCCAGCCACAAATCATCTCAGTCTCTGAAACTGGATTCTTAAAAATACCAGTTTGCTAGAATTTCCGAGAGCCTGGCATAAACAAATTCAAGGCCTTCTTAGAGAAAGAGAACAGGTCCTCTAAGTCCTAGGTTTCAAATATGCAAATTAAAACTGCTGTGAGAAGTCACTACAAATCCACCAGAATATCTAAAATGAAAAGACTTGCAATATTAAATGCGGGCAAGGATGTGAAACATTCGAACTCTCACATTCCACTGGTGCTTGTTATATTTACAAAAACAAACAAACACGTACAAGAATTTTCATAACAGCAGTATCTGTAATAACCAAACATTGGAAACCACTGAAATGTCCCTCTACAATAAATGGATAAATAGACTGATATAGTCACATAATGGAACACTATATAGCAGTGAAAATGAACAGCCCTTTTTAAAAAACTTAGACCACCTGGCGGTAGGACAGTAGTAAGAAGGCAGTTTTGTAAAGCCTCCATGAATCTGAATGCCTCTGGGAGAGCTTCTACTCTCGGCGTCAGCTCCTTGCTCTCTGCGCCTTAATGGGTCAGGTAAACACAGAGGCGAATGGGAGGTTGCAGCCCTGACCTCTGGCAGCTCACTCTCCATACACCTAGTTGTTAGGGCAAGGAGTGGTGTTGTCAACCGGCGGCCCCGGGGTCAAGGAATCCAGGGCACTGTCCTCGCGATGGCCATGCAGATATCTAGGGCGTCATTGCTCTTTCTCTGCCATAGGGCAGCTGATTTAGGATAAAATGCGCCCATTACCGGTGCCTCTTCTCTGGCGGGCCAGGTCCGCTGGGACACCTATGGCCCACGGAGGCGCCCAGAGGAGGGATCTGGGCCAAGAGAAGGGCTCGGGGGGGGGGGGGGGGGGGGGGGGGGGGGGGGGGGGGGGGCAGAGACCACACGGGGTGACAGCAGAGCCCTCCGCGCACACACACAGCCCACCACACCCTGGCTCACCCCCCACCTCCTTTCCTTTCCGCCCTCTCGGGTGGCTGCGCTGTGCATCGGCGTCGCGCGAGGGGGAGGAAGGGACTGGCATTTGGTTTAAAGACCAGAAGCAAATGTCCCCTGACAATTTCATGTCATTCTTCTGGATTCAAAGGAGGGGTAGAGTGGTGAAGACAGACGCAGAGGGACAACGAGAGACGGCCCGACTCCGGGTCTGCCGGAGGGAGGCAGGGCGAGGCGGTTCTCTCCCGCCCGGGTGCGGGCTCAGGGTGG